GTACCGTTGAGTAAAAGAATAATTTTCTAACTATGCAATTGGCAAAAAGGTGTGATTTATGCCAGTTAGATGAAGGGTTAAACACTGTTGAGTAAGAGAATAAAGAAATTTTAATGTATTGTGATATGAATGGGGCATAAGTGATAAGAATGGGTGATATATATATATATATATATATAACCACACATAATTGGTATATAAGAATGCCATAAATGAAATGTATAATAGTGTGTAATAGAACTGAAAGGATATCGGAATAGAAATGGTATAATGGTGTATTATAAGTATGATGGGATGTTATCAATGAAAATAAAGGTTTAGGTTAAAGAGATAAATGGAGAAGAAAATATAGAGGAAGATAGGTATGGTAGACATACTAAAATACTTAAGATAATTGTGAATGGAATACAATTTAAAATGAGGAGGATCATAGAATCCTTAAGGAATATACGATTTAGTACAAATTAAATAAAAAAGGACATACTTATGTATGCACAAAGGTTACTTTATAATATTATGTCTCACTAAGTAAATACTTAATTTGTGTTGTTTCCATGCGTATGTAAAAACAGAGATAAATTGAGTAAGGAGTGCAGCGGGTAGCAGTGGGTATCATTAGTTACGGTTGACTCTCATCAGTAACGATAGGATAATCTTATTCAATTTAAGAACTTTGTTGGCATGTAATTAAATTATAGTAAACATTTTGTAATGTAGTTAAATGAAAATTTTTGTATATTGTTTTAAAAAATATCATATTTTGTGGTTCATCAAATTGAAATAAAATTTTACAGGTTTTCAAATGACAGACATTATTTTATTAAAGTGATGTGACATCCATATCTCGTGTACGGAAGGGTATACGAGATATATGTTATATTTATTGGTATCAGAGCTACATGTTTAGCCAATTCTCGGTCAAAACCGGGCTTAATTGAACTAAGAAAAAGGATTACATGCCATTAAGATTGACAAAATTACTTATATGATGTGAATTAGAGTGTGATAGACGCCACTCCTTAATAACTCGAGTGTTTTATTATGTATGTTCTAATAGATATTGTAAACTAAGGACAAAAGTAAGAAAGTTGATAATATTGAAAAGAAGGTCGAGATCAAAATTGATTCAAGAGAATTCGACATGACTTCAATATAATGTCTTAGAAGGGTAAAAGTTGCTAGGGATTTTCCTTCATTCTTTGCAAGAAATGCCCCAGCATTTGACAACATTATTGATTTTTAGAAATACTTAAGTGAAGCGTTAAAATGTTTAAAGTATGATTAATGTAAGTATGATTAATGTGAGTAAGAAGAAATGAATAAGAGGTAAGTATATTGATCTCTAAAAGCTTATAGAAAGAAGAGTTGTTAGTGGATCAATTGATTATGGGTTGTTTAAGAATAAATGATTAAGTTTTATGAAACTAATAGAGTTATTTTAGAAAGAAATTTTTGAAACTAAATTTACTACCCGTTTAATGCTTCAATGGATTATTAATTAAAATCGAGATTAATTCTTGAGAATTTGGCAAAGTGTTAAGTTTGTGATGAAAGGAAGATTACTAGTGTGATTTTAGCATTTACTACTATGAAATTATTGCTACAAAGTTGTCAAGTCTTTTTATTAAATGATGTGGATAATTAGATTTTCATAGTTGAAATAAAAGATGTTTCAACTGTTTGAGAATATTTTAAAGGGACTTGGAAAAGTTATACGGATTTCCTCAGTAAGGAAATGAAAGATTTTAAAAGTAAAAGTATTCTATTCAACGTAATCTTGAGTGAGAAGATAGTAGTAAACCATAGTTGTAACCCCCTCAGACCGATGCGGATAGCCCGATCCGATCCGAGTGTCACATTAGGGCCACCAGAGCTACCCACCGTAAAAATAACGAAAAAGTTAAAAACTTTTATTAAACATGTAAAATCGTAAAATCATTTATAAATACAAAAGTAAAATTTTCCAATATTCAGAAATAAAACAGATTTTCAGACTCGTATATAAAACAAAAAATTACAATCTACATGCCCCCTAATCACATGTACCATACTCTGCAAGCAACGCTAGAAGAACTCCCTTATTGATATCGGTAGTTGCACTGATACAATTCTTTTAACCTGCAGTGTTGAGTAATAGAGTGAGCTTCGAAAAGCTCAGTAATACAAAACTACCAAATGATGCTATAGGACATGTAGATAAATGGAAAGCCATAATTTCCATATTGAATCGGACGTCTACAAATTTTCGGAATAATATGAGGTTCCACTAGTAGTTCATCGAATAGAAGCCATTAATATCTCAGTTCATAGGAAGCATTCATAGTATCATGTTTCCAGGAGATCGAATAGGATGTGTAGTGTGTTCCAACAGTACGATAAAATCATAATAGGTACACTAATCAAATGATAGTTCGGTAAATCTCATAAATCATACTGTAGTGGAGCTTTTTAAACTCGTATTTTAAAACCATCGTATAAAGAGTTAACCTAAGGGAACATATTAGGGCCTGAGAGCCTACCCAAGAAAGTTTTGGGGCCACGGGGCCTACCTAAGAACACATCTTAGGGCCGCAGGGCCTACCCGAGGATGATCTCAGGGCCGTAGAGCCTACCTATGAGTCACATTAGGTCCATAAAAATTTTCCAGCTTGATCAGAGCTGTACTTTACAAATCAGTATCTCCAAGATACAATACCATAAGCCATCACCATTAAGTTGGTACATCCATAAAACAATAACCATAGATTTTAGTGTACCATAGTTAAAACAATAAAAACAATTTATTAATAAATAAGGAACACACTAGAGAAATACAAATATTTTCAGAGGCATTTTATAGTTATCAGCATTGATAACATGAAACTTGCAATCTGATTGGATTCTAGGAACAAGGTCCTATTGAAGAGAATCGATTACTAACCGATCTAATCAGACATTTAAGGTTGATACTTTAGAATTTCACTATGATTCATGTGCCTCAGGAAAGTTTTCATGAACTTTTATACAGAATAATTCTAGATTCAAATTACTGAGAATGATTGCATTACCCAAACAATCATGGTATTCAGGAATATACTTTGAATTCATAGGATTTTAGCCCAATTGAACCAAATGGGGTATTCATAATCTTTTCCTTCTACGTTACTTGAGTTTCAGACATGATTGTAGTGATTTGAGCTAATAAGGGAGAAAACACAGATTCAGGGCATATACCCTTTATATTGATCGATTAGATTATCAAACAAGTCCCAGAACTGATGCCTGTTGACTGGTCAATTCCTTGCTCTACTAAGGTATTCACTCTTTATTAAACAATTATTGTCCATTAATCATCTTCATAATCATCACTGAATAAATCTTCCAATAGTCTTTATTTCATTTCCACGTTTAAACGATATCAGAAAATACTGACGTACTTGATTCGTGGCTCCTGACCCATAAGGACAATATATCATGTAAGTTCAACAGCGTTTCTAGACTCATCAAAATCACTTATTTAATCCTCAGTCATTGTGGTTACTTAGTTCATTTTTCAATTAAGTTTATCCCGATTACTTCAGAGTTTTCCTGAGTAATTCAGATGTTTCTAAATTTTGGATACATATTGTACTTCTGATCAGTTCAATTTATTCCAATAATAAAGTCATTCTAGTATTCGTGGTTGAATTATCTCACGAATATCTATTTCTTACTATCAAATGTGCTCTAGTGCTGAGATGAGCTGAGTACTTCCAGAATTATCATCGATCCAAACTTGAGAAGACGAACACGCATTCATATGATATCTATGCAATTCAGGTATTGACATAACATTAGGGTTGATCTACTCACTTAAGTTATGTTCCATAACTTTTAAAAGTAGTACAACACCTATGTTTATTTGAATTCCTTAATTAACCTAAAATGTTTACTTATTCTATGCCATAAGGGTATTTTTGTTAATTTGGTGATCAATGTTTTTCCATTCATTTCAAAACTTGAGGATATCCATTCATTCATGGGCTTGGTGATATTATTGAGTCATTTTCATTATAGGGTTATTTTGGTCAATTTACCGATCTAAGGTATTGTAATTCTTCCTTTCCGTCCGGTCTTAACATTTAATTTAATCTTATCATTTACGTTTGTCCTTTCAAACAATTCTGACAAAAGAGCACCATCGATAAATTATTTTTCAAGTATTTACTCATAACTCAAAGATTTTTGGGTCTCAGATTTTACAAACGGAATATCAGAAATTTTCTGTACCAAGACATGATCTTAACAATTAAATCTGTAATATATCGAGTTAGGAACGAAATCTCAAGGTACTTTCTCATCCAGGGTCAACTTAGACTATTTTTACTTCTCAACAACATTTTCGTAATTTTACCCTACCGGAGTATTCTCATAATTTCTCATCGAAGTACATTTAACATTTAACCTTTGATGAAATAAATTATATGTTACATATCCCGGCTAATTCCTTTATCACTAATCACAGAACTCGTAAATTTAATTCTAACAATCCCTCAATTTCTTATATCAGTCATTTGAGCCGTGTTCAGTTACCAAATTTTTACCGCATTCATATCGAGTGTATGAATTAATTAAATACCCAAATGAGACCAAACATATTCATTCATGTATTTACCAATACCAACATGTTCCATAAAGCATGAAAAGGTAGTAATGTATTACCTCGATTTTTGTGCCATACTGATCGACCATATAAATTCCATTCGAATTCCCTCGATCTTTAATTCATCTTCCAATAATTCCTCAAATACATATCAACATAAATTTCATTAAAAATGGAACTTAATTTCGAAAAACGGATTTAATCTGGTGATAAATTAGTGAAAACAACTTACTGGGTTCGAATTTGATGAAACTGACTTCGGAATCGGACTCAGGACGTCAAAAAAACCCAAAATATTACTCTTGAATTCCAGCTCGCCAATTTGATTTATAGCTTCCAATCTTTTTCTACCGAACACAGACAAACTTATAATTTAATCCTACAAAAGAAAGCCAAGGGTTAAACTAGGTGAAAATACATGTTTATACAATGGTCCAACATGATCATCGTTTACAGTAACTATACCATTTGACTTAAGGAATGGGAAATAATATTTGTACCCAGGGCAATTAATAATTACATCTACATCAATAATTGATCCATCTTGGAATACAACTTTACCATCTTCATGTGCGCATTCAATCATTGAATGTTGCCAAGCTTCATCATGTTTTTCCAGCTTTATCAACCGGAAATTAGGTCCTCTAATAGCCTGGTGAACTTGTTTTGCAAGTGGGGTGATCTCTCTTAGAATGTCGGTGGCACTTGGTCCGTTTCCGATGAGCACCACTATCTTATTTTTTTAGATAGAATTATCGCCCCGTTTTATTAACAATGTCTTTACAAACATCAACAACATATAGTCTGGTGGCCTAGTGTACTGACTCCTTGGTATATCTATGGGAATGTTCTTTCTTCCTCAAGCATGAGCTAATGGAGAGCATATATAAATGCGAAACACAATGAGAAACCTAAAGAGAAACACAACAACAAGTTAATACAAACTGGTTTCTCACCTTATCGACTGCAAAAGTGAAAACTTTAAGATATTTCCCAATGAAATTCTACTTCATTCAAAACCACTTCATGTTTAAATCGAATCAGCTCCATCAACCCAAAGTCCCATGAAAAATCCTCGATAAACTTGTGAACCTCCTCGTGACCTGGAAAATGTATTAGATCATCACCTTCTTTCTTCATAAATGGATAGTCCAAGAATCCCATGACCTGCCTAGGAAGGTTGACTCTAAGAGATATGTAAAGGCTTTTGTGATTATTTTTTTTGATTCAGGTAAATGCCCAACAGGTCGGTCTTCACCTGTGTATTATAGAGCCACATATCACCAACTTTATCGGCCTTTCCAAATACGACAACACGGTGACCTTCTCTTTGAAGCTCCCTCTGTCCATATTTCTTGCTCTTAGACTTGATGGGATTCATTAAAAGAAGAAAAATAAAGACTGTCTCTCTTTAGTAGAATACATCAGGTGAGATCAAAGGCGGTGACAGAGAGATATGGATAAGGATGGAGTGTTGGGGCAAACACTTGAGGAAAAGTTCAATGCAAGTGGATGAATAATCCTTATTTTATTCCCATCTCACCCAACAATTTGTCCACATTCTACCTAATTTTTAACAAACCACGTGAATGTTATAATTAACTAAAGATTGGGGTGTTACAATAGTGGGTCATAGTGCAAAGATGAATTGAACAGGTAGTAAATAATTGATAAGGATTCCATGGGCTATGCTTTCGATGAACATGATGAAATTATCATTTGATGAGTTAAAATCATATTGAATATAAGTTGTTTGTCTTTAGAGATGATTATTCCAGAAAAATGCAGAGGTTATGGAGATTATAGTTTTTAGTGAGAAAGTAAAATCATCCCTCAAGGTGATATCGATAATGATTGTGAAGGAATAATGTCATATATATATATATATATATATATATATGTGTGTGTGTGTGTGTGTGTGTATAGCTTTTATGGTTAATGTGATAGATACACAAATGATTAAAGAAGATGGTTTGATAATTTCACAACAATTTGGGAAATTATATATGTATTTTCAAGTAAATTTATTAAGATACCTCCATATTGAAAGGTGCAATTCAAGGTTAATAGTTATTAAGGAATTGAACTTGTTTCTATGATTTAGTAATAAAATGACTTAAGTGAGTCAAGTGAATCAAATATGTGTATTAATAGTGAAAAGAAAGATAAATCTATGTGGTTATACATAGATTTTGACAGTTAAATCATACTCTTCGAGAGAAGAACTTGTTTGCAAAATTAATCAAATATGTACTTTGGTTAGCAGAGATAGTTTTATTTGACAATGTTGTTTTGGCAGAAGGTATAAGAGTAAATTTTAAGAAAAATCATGTTGTAGTAAATTGGAAACTCTCAAAGTTTTACTATCGATGATTAGTGAAAAACTTTTTTACGTTAGCTTTGTTGCTAACCAAGATTTTAAGGAAGGAGATGTCTTTTAGAGAGCATGAAAAAAAAGGTCAAGAGAGTTTCGGAATACTAAAGAGGATTGTAACAGGAATACCAACATTTATACAACTTGAGTTGGGTAAAGATTATGTAGTTTTTACTAATTCATATATCAACGGTTTAGGAAGTGTGCTTATGCACAAAGATAAAATTATGACATATGCCTCAATAAAGTTAAAGACTCACAATAGGAATTATTTACACATGTTTTAGAGTAGACAGTAGTCGAGTACTTTTAAAGATTTGATGTCATTAATTATATAGTGAGCGACGTTATAGTGGTGCTAATTACAAAAGTCTTATACCGAGATTAAGAGAAAAGTAGTTGAGTGGCAAGAAAGTGATAAAGTTTTCCTAAAAGTATTGTTTGAAAGGAAATATTGTGGTTTGGACTAAGTTTGAAAATTAGTAAACCTTAATAGATTTTATCAGTTAGCTTTTGTCTCCCGAAATGGACAAGACCTATAGTGTTTTCATGTATCATTGCTTATTAATGAACAATCAAATCCATTTCATGTTCTTACTTTGGTAAAAGGGGAGTCCATTAAAGTTTAGTTTTGAAAAGAATCAATACAAATTTGGATTAGAGAAATCCAGAAAAACGAGTAACAAAATAATTTCTTTATTTGAAGTATTGTGGTAAGAGCATAAAGTTTTAAAATTCGAGGATGAATTTTTCTTAAGAGGGGGAGAATTGTAATACCCCAAATATTAGGTCAGTGACTAAATTGAAGAGAATTAAAATTTGATGATTTAATTGAATAATTGGTAAAATATGAGAAAAGGATTTGAAATAGTATATTGAACTAAATTATAGCAATAAAAGAATTAAGAGGGCATTTTGGTCATTTAAGAGTAAAATGAAATTTAAAAATAGTTAGGGTTTTTAAATAGGGAGGAAAGAGAAAAATAAATGTATTTTCTACATTTCTTCTTCTTCTTTTCCTTTTCTTTAAATTATGGGTTGCTATGGTTATGTTAAGTGATATATGTCCATAATAAAGGATTAATTGAGAATAAAGTCATGAAATGGAGAAAACATTGGTGATTTTAGAAAATGGGTTTTGAAATGAAATGTTAATATATAAAGGTTTAGTAATGTTTGTTGGTAAAATTGACTTGTCAAGAAGGTAAATGAAAGATTAGAAGCAATTATTGAGTGAAATAACAAGTTAGAAATTATGGTGTGATTCTTAAAATCGAATGCTCTTGAGGAATATTAGATGTTTTAAGTGGTTAAATGAAGGAAAGTTAGTAAGGTTAAGTAGAGAAGTGTTATATAGTATTGTTAGGGGTAAAGAAGATGAAAATTACCCAAAGTTGGGTAAATTTCGAGTGAAAAACTGGAAAATCTGGGTAGGGGTATCAGTACCCTATGGAACAGTTCTGATACCCTAGGTAAGAATTAGGCTAAATTATATAAGAGGTATTGATACTGATTCAACCACTATTGGTACCCAGGTAATGTGGTATCGATACCATGGTAAGGGTATCGACACTAGTAAACATCGAATCTAATTTGGGTATCGATACCTAGAGGGGTATCAGTACCATAGCATGGGGGTATCGGTACCATGGTGAGGGTATCGATACCAGGCTATATCGAAGCTAATTTTGGTATAGATACATGAAGGGGGTATCAATACGCTAATAAGGTAGTATCGATACCATAGCAGGGGTATCGATACAGAAGGGCCAGAAATGTTAAGTTGGGACTGATAATGTTGTAGAAAGTTAATAATAAGTATTTTGATTAATGTTTAAGTTATAATTGTTAGGAAATACACTAAAAATTGATATTATGCATGTATGTAATGAACGTGGGATAGATCAAAACCAAGCTCTCGAAAAAACAAAACCAAGGGTAAAGGCAAAATATCGGAGTAATCAAACTTACGTTTTGGATACATAGCAAGAAAAGTCAGGTGAGTACATTTACTTTATAAAATCAATAGAATTAAAATGTTTAAATTGTAAAGTATGTTTTACTAAGTTTTATTTAAGGTATGAAAAAAAATTTATTAATGAGTTTTAGAGTATGAAATGCTCTAAATCTAATAAATAAAAGAATAATGCATACGGTGCATTAGTGGCATGAAAGGATGCCTTTGCTGATATGTATATGGGTACATTATCAACATAACAGAATAATGCATATGGGTGCATTAGTGGCATGAAAGGATGCCTTAGCTGATATGTATATGGGTACATTATCGGCATAACAGAATAATGCATACGGGTGCATTAGTGGAATGAAATGATGCCTTAGCTGATATGTATATGGGTACATTATCGGCATATCAGAATAATGCATATGGATGTATTATTGGCATGAAAGGATGCAAAAGTTGAAATGCATATGCGTGCATTATCAACATAAAAGTATGCTACAATGAAAAAGGTATAATGGTATATGATAAAGTTGAATGTACATTATTAATTGAAATAACGATTAACAATTAATGGTTATGACAACTTGAATATATTAAGTGTATGAATTTTCGTATAAGAAATATATCTGTATAAACATAAGAAATTCATAATAAGAAAAATGGATCTTGATATTGGTATTTGGTATGCCAACCACATAGATTATAGAAATGGTTGAGGAATAATGTATAAGCACTATATGTGCATCTTAATAAATTAAAAGAGAGTTAATTGATATTAAAATAAGTATTAGAATAGAAACTATTCAAAAATAAAAGATGTAATGGTCTAGTTGTGCAATTGACAAAAGGATGTCAATTATGCAGTTAAGTACCGTTGAATAAAAGAATAATGGTCTAACTGTGTAATTGGTAGAAAGGTGACATTTATGCCACTTAGCTGAAGGGTTAAACACTGTTGAGTAAGAGAATAAAGGAATTTTAATATATTGTGATATGAATGGGGCATAAGTGATAAGAAAGGATGACACACACACACACACACACACACACACACACACACACACACACACACACACACACACACACACACACACACACACACACACACATATATATATATATATATATATATATAATGTATAACCACACATAATTGGTATAGAAAAATGCCATAAATAAAATGTATAATAGTGTGTAATAGCACTGAAAGGATACCAGAATGGAAATGGTATAATGGTGTATTATAAGCATGATGTGATGTTATCAATGAATATAAAGGTTTATGACTAAAGAGATAAATGGAGAAGAAAATATAGAGGAAGATAGGTATGCTAGGCATCCTAAAATACTCAAGATAATTGTGAATGGAATACAGTTTAAAATGAGGAGGATCATAGAATCCTTAAGGAATATACGATTTAGTACAAATTAAATAAAAAAAAGGACATACTCATGTATACACAAAGGTTACTTTATAATATTATATCTCACTAAGTAAATACTTAATTTGTGTTGCTTCCATACGTAGGTAAAAACAGAGATAAATTGAGTAAGGCGTGCAGCGGTAGCATTGGGTATCATTAGTTACGGTTGACTCTCATCAGTAACGGTAGGACAATCTTATTTAATTTAAGAATTTAGTTGGCATGTAATTAAACTATAGTAAACATTTTGTAATGTAATTAAGTGAAAATTTTAGTATGTTGTTTTTAAAAATATCCTATTTGTGGTTCATCAAATTGAAACAAAATTTTACAGGTTTTCAAATGACAAACATTATTTTATTAAAGTGATGTGACATCCATATTGTTGAAACATTTTAATATTTCGATATAACAAATTAAGTTAAATGGATTTTAAGATTTTCCAAATGATTTTCTAAGTATATTCGATATAACTATTCGAATATCAAAACATTACTCCAAATATTTCAAAAATCATTTTTAATCCTTAGTTAAGTGTAAAATTAAGTTTTAATCATAAAACAATTTCAAAATAATTTTACAAAGTATTTCGAACCAATTCAAAGTCAAAAATTCCA